AGAAGAAACATTCCTCTATCTTTTTACTGCTTTAGAGCAAAAGACATCACCATTAAATGAAAATTTCAACAGCCAAGATTGCAAAGCAGCATTGAAAAAAATGAAAGAAAACATCGCCATGAAATGGTAAAAAGGGATAAGAAATCTACAAACTATTCCAGACACTTTGGAACCTATAATCATTGATCTACTTAATGCAATATGGGGAAAAAGTTCAAGCCCGCAAAAGCTGGAAACAGGCAATCTTAATTCCAAGCCATAAATCGGGCAAAATATCCTGAGGATATCAATTTGTACATGCTAATCTCCTTAACAGACAATATATGTACAATCATGAAAACAATGATCAATAACAGGCTCAATTTACAACTAGAAAGTAACAACCTGTTGTCTGAAAACCAGGGCGGTTTCCGGAATAAAAGGTCCAATGCTAATCAATTATTTAGACTTCAATCTAGCATCAAACTGGCTTTTAATGCCAAACGGAAGAGAGAATCGCCACCTTATTGCTATCTTCCTTGACATAGAAAAAAAAGCATTTGATCTTGTATGGACCAACGGCCTTATTGCGAAGCTAAATCATTATGGGATAACCGGTCGCATTCATCGCAGGATGAATAACTTTCTCAAATAAGAATAGGGGATGAATACTCATATACAGTTCCACTAGAAAAACGACCCCCACTCAGGAAGTGTCCTTAGTCCAACCCTATTCAATATCATGGTTAATGACTTTGTTGAAACTCCGAATTTAAGAAAGGTAGACTTATTCAAATTTGTTGATGAAAGTGGGATCTGGAAAAGCAGGAAACCCGACCAGCAGTAGAGTAATCGGAGATATTCGAGAAGATCTAAGCAAAATAGGTAGATGGGCTAACAAATTTGGCTTTAAAATATCCCACGGAAAATCCGTAGCGGTCCTGTTTTCGCCTCGAGTACAAAGAATAATCAACTATCCAAAATTATTTTAACAAACCACCCAGGTGATATGCATAAAAATAGCCAAGTTCCTAGGCATGCATTTGTATCATACAATTATATATAGTTTAAACCTTAGTTTTACAAGGTAATCATAAACTTAAGACCATTAGGTCCACCTGCACAATGCAGCAACAAAATACTTAGGACTTTTATTAAAGACATGTAAATAAGATTATAAATCGATCTAATGTTCAGGACAATAATTCCCACCTGCACAACGAGGCAACAAAATATATATCAGTCATTAAGACCTCAAATTAAACAATATAAGGTTGCAAAAACCCAGCGATCAGGCCCCTCAGCACAATGCGGAAAACAATATTAATCTAACTGACACCAATTATTTACATTGAAACAAATAATTTTACCGAAAAAGATGTTAATACAGTCATCGCCTTTGTAGATCTATCCTCTTATAACAGAACGGCGTCACAATCAAAATTGTGCAAGTACATTTTCACTTTTTAGCTATCTTGAATCAAAGTTTAGGGTTTAGGATGCGTTCGCTGGTCGTGGGTGCCTCGTTTCTATCACACCTGACGTCTTCGTCTGGACATATATATATATATATATATATATATATATATATATATATATATATATATATATATATATATATATATATATATATATATATATATATATATATATATATATATATATATACACGTGATGTGGTTATGCTCATTTCTACCCAGCACGATTAATGTTTTAGTGAGTGCATGTTGGGTCGATTTACACTCGCAAGAGCTTACACACGAGTCGATTTGACATTATTGTCCTACGACTCGTACTGAATTAAACAGTTCGCTATATGAGCATAAACGCATAGGAGGTATGGCAACTTTCGCCTCCTAAGAGTAGCTAATTAACATGCCTTGCGGGAATAAACTCGTCGCGCATACCTTATTCGCGAAAGCAACGGTAATTCAAGATAAGTAAACAACTGGATAATGAAGAGAAGAATGACCAAAAATAAGGCTGAAAAGGATGCAGACATTTATGGGTGATCGTTTTATTTGTTACCACCAGATTCAAAGCCTGAATCAACTTTAATAAGAATTAATCCTTAGATTTTGTATTCGATGTCATCGGAGTGAAGCTAAAATAACTTTTGTCCTTCTTTCCGTTCCTCAGGGTATCGAAAATACTTGAAAACCCATAAACGTTTTTCACAGAGCAGATTATCCACCCAGAATAGAAAACGAAGAGCGACAAAAATATATATTATTTCACCGTTAGAAAAGTGCATTTTAAGACGATGGCCAAACATTTTGGACTCGATCAGTACAGTTTTGTGATTTTTCTCCAATATTATTCGAAACTGAACGGTAAGTATAGTTGCAATGGCTTCAAGCAGCTTGTGATCATTATAGAAATGGCTTGCTCAAATATTTATGGTATAAGCAGTCAAGTGAGGATTGGTGGGTGGTAATTTCTTTGGTTTCGTACATGAGAAAATCATTGGTGTTCGTAAACTTGTTTGTTTAGGGTATCGAAAAAAGAAATTGTTGAAGTTGTGTTCACATTAGTTGATATTTAAGTTTTGTGTATTATGAATAATGTCCCAATGAATATCGTGGTCCAAAAATGGCTATTAAGCCCCATAATGTTTTGTTAGGAAAACATCCACTGACGCTAAAACTGATTATTCATAGTTCCATGTTTGGTTTCCGAGTAGTCAGTCAGTTCCAATGGAGTGGTATCCTGCAATTGTTCCATAAGAGAATGTATGCGGTTGTTGTGGGATTGGCTTTGGTCGCAAGGTTACTGCCATTGTTACTGCTTTGAGTATTTAAAGAAAACTCTGTGCAGAAGAAAACTAATGCATCTTGTTACGTATCGGCTCTTTCAAAGTAACAGAAGAAAATAGTGAAGACAACAAGATTTTTTAAAAGTTTTAATAAAAATTTTATTTCTATTCAAAACACAGTGAAAAATATGAAAATGTAAAATAGGACTTACGGTTTGTGAATAAACATCCAAACATTATCATAGAATTGTGAATATATATGAGTCCTATTAATATTAATGTTTGAAAGTCAGGTTGTTTCCAACGTGGAGGATGATGACGTCCGATGAAGTCTTTACACAAATGATCATATTTTCACGTTGAACCTCAATACGTACTGTACTGTTCCAATTTAGAATGATTTTCACTGAATAATTTTGTACTAAAACACTTGCATAGTTCTCCAGTGAATACATTATTGTTCAAATGTAGATAACCTCCTATAGCTGTCAAGGTACATCTATAACAAGGCACGTCTTTAGCTTTATTGATGTAATGACGATTTGGCTCTTTTTCCTGCATAAGAAAATATACCATTCGTCTACAAGGTATATTATAATACTTTAACTCAGCACAATAAATATATTAATTTCTTCTCAAGGCATAATATATAATTGTCTACGACACAGATGAGAAATATTGTTTGATTCCGACACAGATGTGAGATCTAATATAACTCCGACAAGCTGAGAGATATTATATGACTGCTTCTTTTTACAGGGACCTAAGTCTATTTTAAATAAACTGAGATGTCATTATATTCTGCACGCGCATGGATAAAGCGTGGTATTTTCTCATCTGACAATGCATAGTACGCGATATAAACAGATATACAAAGAAAAGACCATGGTCGCAGCCAATCATTTACATAGCTTGTTTATCAAAACCGGCTATTTTAACAACATTTTCGAACTACAAAAACTCATTACGAAATCCGAGAAACATATTTACGCTTTAAGTAAACAAACTCTTACGAAAATATCAGCTCCCGTGAACAATAGTTATCACAATAAAACACAATGATACATAAAAGAAATAAAAAGAATTCAAATTGTACAAGTAGTTAAAATACAGTGTCGTGCCAATTCGCTGAGTAAAAATGTGAACATTTGGTTGCATCCTTACTGTAAACACGGATTTGAAATTCGTTTGCTCTGATGGTACACTATAACGCAAAGTTGTATTCCGAAAAATATTATTTATTTGTAGAAACACACTTTTCCACACCACACATACTGAGGTAAATTATTTTATTTTCGATGGTATGTGAAAAAGTAATCCAAGAATCAAAGATATATTGGTATCCTTCCTAACGTACTTTTAATTATTCACGTCGACGTTTTCCCACCTTACCTGTTCTTCTATAGAGAATGCATTCGATATCTCGCGTGTCGGTTATGCTTTCGGTCACTAGTTGTAAATCGGGCAAGATTAATGTTAATTCTAACACTTCTCAGTTCATGTATCCAAGTTTTTAGTCAGGAGGACCTGTTCTACGTACTTATCCAGTGACATAAAAGTTTCGTTTGTCCAGTTAGGTAAATCACCTTGGTGATGTGAATTTTTCATTGCAAATCCAATCTCCAGTCATTATTACCACATCTTCCCTTAAAGGTATGTGACATTCCATCACGTCTTCAGGTGTAAATCGCATACATCGATGGTACGATAGATTCTATGTTTTGACAGGACGTAGTACCTTGTACACGAGGGTGTGCTTATGTAACAAAATATTTCTCACATACGTTCCTTCAAGCATCTTTAAGGATTTTAAATTATGAGAACAAAAAATGTATCTTTTTAAAATCTTTGGACAAGTTTCATTCAGAAATGAAATGAATTGTTAAATTTGCTATCAAAGCCGGTGACGACCAATTTATTTCAAAATCAACATTTAACTGAATTTGTTCTTGGAGCGAAATGAACTAGCCAGGCGTTGTTGAAAACATGTCAATGACCGAAAACAAATCTTTTAACCACGATTAATGAGAGGCAAGAAATGTCGTGTAAATCTTATTGTTATTGATGATCGATGTAATTATTGTTGTAACTCTGACATCTCGGTTATATTAGGATTAGGGTTAAATTATGTATCCGATGTTTGTTCCAATGATGTTTTGTATGGAATCAAAATGAGGCTTTGTTTTTCTTTAAGATCAGAAATTACAACTGTGATGTCTTCCTAGAAAGGAGTTACTATTCTTCTATTTCTTTGGTCTCATCTGACGGTTGCCTAGTGGCTAGAGCGTTTGCCTCAGAAGCGGGAGGTCGTGGGTTTGAATCCCGACCAAATCCTACCAAAGACTTAAATGGTGCTAACAGCTGCTTCGTTTGGCGCTCAGAATTAAGAGGTTTGTGTTAGGACTGGTATTTTTGTTGTCAGGATAATGTGAATGGAGATTGAGATCATGGTACATGTCTGCGCCATGATACCTTAGTGCTAGACATCACTATAAACTGCCACACTGCAGATATCGCAGCGGTGTGACTGAAACATTTTGTTACAGCTACGTTAAAAATCTATATCATGCCCATGTCTCATAGGTCTTTCTAATCGCAGCCACTTTTAAGAAGGGTCTAATCCAGCGGTAGAAATCCTTCTCTTTGAACCAGTAGTGTTTTCGCTTGACACATATACATTTTGTCTTTTACATTTTGTGGAGAACGTTTGTTTGTTTTCAAAATAGTTTAAAAGTATGATTACAAAGGCATCGTTCCTTTTAAAGCATTCAAGCAACATGTGCTCAGTGTGGTGAACAAAGGCATCGTTCGTTTCAAAGCATTCAAACAACATGAACTCAGTATCGTGGACAAAGTCTTCGTTCCTTTCAAAGCATTCAAGCAGCATGCGCTCAGTGTCGTGAACAAAGGCATCGTTCCTTTCAAAGCTTTCAAACAACATGTACTCAGTAGCGTGAACAAAATATTCAAATAACATGTATTCAGTATCAATGATTTTTTTTGGGTGGTTTTGAATGATTTGTGTTCACATCGAAGGACTGGATTTAGTGCGTACTGACAAAACGCCCCGATTATGTGCTAAACGAGGAGAAACTACCTTTCTTCCATTTGTTGGGGGATAAATGTGCTATGTCATGACTAGGAGAGTGGTGGTGGTGATGTGCACATTTTGGCTACATATTTTGTTTCAAGAGCAAAAACACTGAGGTGAACTTTCTTTCAGACTTCTTTTTATTACTTGAATTCGTCTTGATGACATCTTTTTTCAGGAGCAAAATTGATAAAGTGAAGCGTATCACTCTCTACTTTATTATACTGATATTTGTATAAGCTGATTGTCATTACGTCGTATCAAGTTTCTATATACAGCACTCGACGATAAGGTCTTTTCAATGGCAAAAATCGAGATAGTTCTTTTTTGGATAGATCAATTCAATTTGATAGGAAACTTGTTCAATCTTTTATGAAAGCGTCGTTCCAAGAGGATAAGTTCCTATAGATATGGGTTTCTATATCATCATCGAACTAGGAAACACGGGTGTTGAATTAGATTTGACCCGCATAGTTATGAACGGCAAGAAAGTAGAAACAATAGGAGGATGCACAATCATCGACTGACATCGTTTCGTATAGTGGGTATGCGTCATTGCAATTGTACCAATCGTTCTGTCAGGAGATGTTTGTTTTAATTAGGCTGTTTGTTTTCTGTTTTGAACATTCTACATCACCATCTCTTGTTCGGATTTGCTGCCGTATTTTGTCGGATTTTACTTTAATTTAGCTTCGGCATTAGGATTCCATTTTAAAAGTGAACAAATGATGGTACATGCTAAAGAGGCACTTCCAGCAGTTTTCAAAATGATTTATTTATTTATTGGTTTGGTTTGAGTATCGATTCTTAGATCTGCAAATTTTGACAACACTGTTGTTTATATTCCAAAACTCGTTTGGTTTGATGGGAGAGTTTAACAATATCTTGAGATAATTGAAATCCTTTGAGACTGGCTTCTAACTATTTTGCAAGGACTTGTGCATTTCCTATCGCTACTGATATCACATTGAGTACGAATCAGTTTGGTAGGAGGATACGATTGAAAAAATATAACGGTAAATACTGTCTGAAAGGAAAGAAGTGAAGGATGTTCATATAGGTTCATTTATTTAGCCAGATACCAGTGGCAATTCCGCCATTTTCAGACATTGATTGACCAAATTGTTACACAATTTTCAAATAATCGGATATGGTTGGTTTTAAACCGATGAGTAAATAGTCATGGGCTGTTTGAGTGATAACGCCATACGCATAGTTCAGCCGAGGCTTTCCTAAGTGTTGAACTACCACTTGCACTTGAGATTCGTCTCTTGCGCCTTTAAAAATACCAAATAATGGACATTGATGATGCGATATGCATTACTTTGTTGGGATAAATTTTGTGTAAAGAAACTTTAAGATGATGTCATTTTCGTGTTTTTGTCTTTCCTTCATAAGTCATTGAAGATGACAAAATGTGTTTGACATAAGGCCTGACTTGATCATATTGTCTTAGTGAACCAAGCCGTCTGCTCGATTGTCGAAGCTCTTCCATGATCTTTTATATTTCACTATTTCATTCTGCTTGCCATAATTTCTCCAAGCGAAAGTGGTGCGAGCTAGCACATCTGAACTTGTGACTTGTCAGTTTGGACGATCGCACAGTGCCAATTTAATCCTCTGATTACATTTTTCTCTGTGGTCCACAGCCTCTGAGAGGTGAAACGGGCGTCGTGTAAGAGTGACTCCTTCATTTGTCCAGTTAAATACAGCATTGGGTTGTTGAAGGTGTTGACTTTCGACGGTGTTAATTTTGCTAAACTTAATCTTGACAGAAGACTTTAAAGACTCATGATCGATAATGCATCACGCTTAAGCTTAACATTGCTTTTTTATTTTCTCTAAAACTCAATACACAAATCTATTTGAAACCTGTCACCCAATCGGATGGCGCTTCAAATTTGAACTCTTTAAATTTTACCTTATAGGTGTAAGTCGTAGTTATTTTTTTATTAAAGTGAGTTAATGCGTTACTCGAATGTGACAATAACCTTCGGGAGCTACTGAACAACTGTCCTTCTTCTTAGATATATGGGTCTTGTGCTAGATGCAGTAAAATGTATTGGTTGAGGCTCAGTCTGGTCATCTTCAGTATAGATGCCACCAACTTGGGATAACACTTCAGACAGCACATAGGGGGAGGGGGTCCCAAGGTTAACACTATTTATCATTTAACTTAGTATTTCTCGTATGACTCCATACCATCCAACGCCTGATAACATAAGGGCTAATCTTAATTCCAGTCTTTCCTCACAATACCCTCATATTAAAAATGTATTATCTAAGATAGTATGACCTCATTAGAACTACAATCACTAAAACATATATCGCTATTACAACATCATAACCAAATGTTTAGAAAAAAAATCACAAAATATTAATTCTTCGCGAAACAAATATTACCATAACCTTAATTTACAATCAGTTGGTATCTTTCCTAATAAATCAAACCTTGATTATTAGTTCTATGAATCTAAATTCGGATAATTTTAATTTCACTCTCTGGAAGCGAGAGAAGCTTCAATTCCCATGCGTCCGTCAACGATTTCTGGTACTATTTTTTTGGATTTTAAGTCGAATTGAACGAGTACGTGCCACGAACAAATTGAAATTGAAATGCATTGGTTACACATTGGTATAACAACATAAATCGAAAATGAAATTAAAGATTCTTACAATAAATGATTAAATTTTTTTTTGTAATAAAATTAACACGTACTGAGCTGATGCATTTACATATTCATAATGGCGGCTTATCACAATTTAAGCACATATCACTGTAACAAATGCTGCAACTGGTGTAGTTTTCTTATACAGAAATATAAGTAAGGAATGGTTATATGCTATGAGATAAAAAATGGACTTTAGCAATTAGAAATTTAAATATTTAATCGGCAATATAAAAATATTTCCCTAAGTTGCGATAGGAGCTAAATAAGCACGATGTGTCCAACTATTTTGCCCGCGCTCAAAGAAAAAGTTATATATATATATATATATATATATATATATATATATATATATATATATATATATATATATATATATATATATATATATATATATATATATATATATATATATATATATATATATATTAGTTTGAATTCAACCAACTGATATCAATTATAATGACTACTACAAATACAAGGGTTTAGGTGTGAGCGGATTTGCCTTCAAATTATCACCATATTGGATGGCGTGTTTTACATATAACATAATCTTTGATTCATTTTTAAAGCAATACTCAGAATTTTTTTTCAGGTTGATATCTGACGCGATGCATCGAACTAATAACCCTTGTGTACCCTTTACCTCATTTCATTCCCGGAATGTTTTGAACTTGATATTTTATGTTTTCTAAGGCATACTAATAACCCTTTTGTACCCTACACCTCATTTCATTCCCGGAATGTTTTCAACTTGATATTTTATGTTTTCTAAGCTTGCTTTCATTTAGCTTTGTACTATATGTGTTTTAATAACTTTAGGTAATGATTGACACTTAAATCTGTTTTGGAATTTATGCACACAAATTTAGACTCTCATTATGGCATTTTCTCCATGTGTTGCATGGCCGATCGTCAGGGTGAGAGAGCATTTCAATAACGGCGATGTGCAAATAAGATGATCACAAAAACTGACTTCTGATTTGACAAAATTGTTTTAATATTATCTAACTTTTGAAATGAAGTTCAAATATGTGTACATTAATTAAACGGACAATCGCTAATGTTTTCATGTTTTGAAATACGCTAAAATATTCTTTGAAAGTAGAACTATGCACATATTTGCATATACTCTGATGCTAAAACAGACATATACTGTAAATCAAGTGTGAATATATGACAATATGTTCCGATTATAAAAAAAAGTCTCAGACCCAGTCGAGAAATTTGGCAATTCAAAAATAGAAGATACTCGGGTTTGGGAGGCCATGACTGGTTGAAAATGACAGACACAAATAACTTTAATTATTTCTGAAAGCTGCTTCAATCAATAATTAAAATGCGATGGATACGATGTCATACTTATGCACTTTCAGTTGTTTGTACAGGCTTGGTTTATCTATTTAGATAATAGATGTAACGATTTATTCCACAAGTGTGGAAGAGGTGAAACGAAATTCAAATCCGTGTGGCGCATGTTTTTTTCTTAACACATAAATCTAACAATATGAGGTATAAGATGGGTCATGAATATTTGGGAATTACGATATTATAAAATTTCCTCGGGTCTACTAATGGAATTTTAATCATTACCGTGCGCATTGAATCTTGAGATAGATTATATACATACTTATAGACATACTGAGGAGCTGACACGATTTTTTATCCTTACTTAATTAAAAGAATATTTTTGTAATTTAAAAACCACAACGACATTCATGTTAATGAAAACGATATCCTGAATGGAAATTATAAGAGCTCCCGACACGATTAACGTTTGTTCCTGGCTTTTAGTTCTGTATGAGTATAGTACAATGTATCATAATGGCACAAAATATATAATAAAGAATTAAAAACTTAGTTCTGCAAACAGCATATAGTTTTTTATATTTGAGTTTCAATTCGTGACCCCATTAATTACTCCTGCCTAATGTAAATTAAATGTATAGGTTCTTAACTCTTTGCCAGATTTGATTTGACGAATATATTATAACAACGTCAAAGAAACGCATATCTATGCAGAGAGTTCCATTCTAAAATGCGTATTTAGAACGTACGCAGATATATTACGTTGTGAGATACGTCAGAAAAGACAAGGAATGGTTTGTGTTGCAGCTGTGCAATATAACGAATTATGTTCAAAACACTGACTTAATTCGCCTAAGAACTCAGATATGATATTTCTTTTGGCGCCAAAATAAGATTAATGGTTTTACATGTTTATTAGTTTCCATATGTAATGGTCAGACTGGGTCTAAAATATATAAAATAGACCCCGAAACGAAATACGTTACTGCCTGAGTTGCCGTACTAAAATGGCCCCTTCTTGTCAGATATAACCAGCAATTATCAGTGTCTGTAGAACAAGACAATCTATCGTGCCACTTTCCTCAAGTTAAGCCGGCATCCATTCGTGCTGAAACAGTCTAACTCATTATTAGCAAGCTAATTAATTACTTTTCTTACCTGACTAAGCATGCGTAATACAAATTCATTGCATTGTCTTGTGATATGAAAGTTTAAAGAGTTGGGTTTTTATAGTCGAGGATAAGCAGAAATTCTTCTACATTCTTTTCCGTTTGTAAGTCAGTTTTTATGGGCGAAAAACTAACGCGAATCAATTGAATTGTACGTACTGAAATCCAAACAGTTGATATAATAAGCCTTTCCGATTTTTAAAAAAAGTTTAGGTCTTGTATTGTGGTATTTTATGTGCTTTGTATTTTTCCATCTTTGTTTCCATAACCATATATGTTTATTTCATGGAATTTCTTTTATGTTTGTTGATAATACTTTATGGTCGAAAGAGATTTTATTACTGCTGAAGAATGGCATTTTTTTCTGCCTCGTTCTCCTTAAATTTTGATTGGATATTTAATAAACACTTATACTAAAATCAATATCGTTCTGTGTGTGCTTGCCTGAATAAATAATGTCTAACATCTTACTACCGAGCTGGTTGTGTTTGTGTGTCTGTGTGTATTGAGCGCCAAGCGAGGTAGCTGTTAGTACTATTATTATATGTTTATGGTATGACTCAGCCGGGGCTCGAACCCGCGACCTACCTCATGCAAGGCGGATACTCTTACCACATGGGCCACGAGAGAAGTGCAGCTGGTTTAATGTACATTAAAAGTATCCGCCATGTTTATCTAGCATCCAGCGTTTTGAAATGAATCACCATTAAATTTTGTAGTTCCTGTTCAAACTTCATATTTTAAAGTTAAGAAATATATTTTTAAAAAGAACAAAGCTGTCCAGTAAAAATTTCTTGTAAAAACTGTCAGACATGTATACGTTGTTTTGTAAATAGATTTAGAAGAAGACATGTAATAACCAGAGTTCCACACAATCTCTCTCCCCCCCCTCTCTCTCTCTCTCTCTCTCTCTCTCTCTCTCTCTCTCTCTCTCTCTCTCTCTTTGCGAGCAGACTCTTAGGTTTTATAAAGCTTTTAATATGCTTCAATTTTTCTCCTTCTTGTACAAAATATTATCTCTGTTTAAAAAATAATAATAAGTAGTAGTAATATGAATAAATAGATAACTAAATAAATAAAAAAATAAATAAATAAATAAATAAATAAATAAATAAATAAATAAATAAATAAATAAATAAATAAATAAATAAATAAATAAATAAATAAATAAGCTATCACGAGGCAATGAACCTCACTCAGGTTAAACCTTTTTGTTGAGGTGGGTTGGTGGGTTGGCTGTTTAGTACAGGTTACCTATAATAAATATCACAATTAGATTAATTAAACTATTTCATTATTTAAAAGTCTACATTTTTAGATGATGTTTCGAATGGGTCTCATTATAAATAGTTCATATTTAAACCAATTAAGTTACCTTTGGCTATATGAAGTACTTAAATATGACTGTGTTAGATTATAAGAAATAATCATTCACTTGATATCAGTTGAAAATTGACGTTTTTGGGACGGTGCAAGGCACGTTGAAAATCTAATGTTGATGTTTGTCGATATTTTTTTTAAAAAAGAAATATACTGCGTTTTACGATCGATGATTCGTTACAATTTATAACTAAAACAAATATAGTAAACGAAATAAGTCCGAAATGAGAGACCATAAGCGTGGTAAGCCAAACAGGATTAGAAAATGTCCTGACGCGTAATGATGAGTGCTTCATAGAGATATTAAATTATTTCTACAACGGATATACATTCCAGAATCCAAAGCACACATTTCTTTCCAGTCACACAAAAATCAACCTTTAGCGCAAAATCATCTCGACTCAGTCAACAATAATTGTATTTTATAGAATTGAGAATAAAATGACAACAAAGTATATCCGTCAATTTGTGACACCTGTGAAATTTGTTGTAAGATTTTACTATAGGTCAAACATTTAAAAGCTAGTAGTCTTATATTCTGGTACATTTTTGGAGTCCTAGTTAGCTAATTCATATGTTCTATTGCTTATTTTAATATAACGGATTTACAGGTGACGCTCGATTTACGCCAATTCAATTTACATTCATTGAATTTACGTACTCTAAGAATGAGGAAATAACATTCAGTTTCTGCAACTGTGTTCATTTTCATACCATCGCTGGTCTCAAGTGATGTAGCTCGTACGCAGATCAAATATGTGCATTTACATTACTTTCGATTGACGCCAGTTTCGATTTACGCCAGTTTCGATTTACGCCATAATGTCAACAACACATCTCTGGCATTTATAAAGCGTTTGTTTAAAATTTGAAGCCGGTTTTATTCTTTCAAGATACAGAAAATGTAATTGTTTCAAACTCTTGTTATGTGTCATTTAGCAATATGTTAAAGTAGTCCTGGAGCAAATCTGCGCGTATCAACCATATTCAGAAATTATAAAAATCTTCTATCTACATTCATTTGATACATTATCCACGTTTGGAAAGAAAGTATTTTAATAATAATTAATAGAACGTAAATTCATATATTTAAACTCATGGCTGTAACTTTCTGATGCCTCCTATACTCTTAATTTTAATGCAGATAAGCTCTATTTTTGACTTGCCCTCCATCTTGCTGCTCCATTCGCATGTGTCGCATTCATTAAATATATTAAAATTACGAGTAGTCAATTACACTTTATCTTTAAATTGAAAGCAATACGGAAATAGATGGCACGTCGCTTCCTTTAGTCGTAATATCTCATCGTAGCAGTATGTTGACACTGACTGAAATGACAATCTAAATGGGACTCTTTTAGGAGAGAAACCAGTAATGTTTGGCTCCATTATATTAATTTCGTGCGGATTTTGTTACGGTAATGTCTCTTGCAATACTGGAAGAAGCTTACGATTTGAGTTGTTACATGTTCGCATTTAAGTGTTGGGTTTTCATTTTTTATTCATTGGATTGTTTATGCCAAACTTTATATAAATTACGCTATTCTTTAGGTTGAAAAGTATCTAGAACACCTAATTATTTTATGTTGATTTTTTTTAATCTCATGGAGATGAAGATTCAGTAAAGAAATTGTAGAGTATTGGGCTTGGACATTTTACTTCTGTTGGAGTTATAATGAATCGGTAGAACAGACTGGTTCCAGTGACACAAAATACTAAGGATTTTTTGATCCTCAAAAGGTTTATGGCAATTTATTTTTTGCTCATGCAAAATCCTGCAGACAAATTGGCAAATAAAATCATTACATCAGCTTAGACCTGATATGTAGCAAATAACGTAGACAAGAAAAGCACTAAAACAAATGAAACATTCTGACATGTACATTTACACATGAATGAACGACTTAGAAACCATGAAAAATATTGTAGATATTAATGTAGTCCACTTTTGCAACTTCATCGCTTACATTGCAACTTAAAACAGAGTAGACTGTATCTATAACTTAATTAAATATGACGTCATTATTTACCTCGTAGTTTCGAAATACTTAAAGCAATTGTCGATACTTGTGTATCTAATTAAATGACAAAAAGCAAAAGTCATATAAAATTTTAATAATCACCATAACAGTCGTCCAGTCGGTCTAGTGCCTTCTGCTAGCTCGCCGTATAGAAGGTCCTTGGGAATGCGGTCTGTATCCATTCTCTTGACGTGGCCAAGCCCTCGAAGGCACCTCTCTCTGAGAATGGTGAACATGCTATGCTATTCATGCTGGCCCGTTCCAGAACCTCCGTGTTGGGTACTTTGTTTTGCCACTGGATGCGCAGAATGCGCTGCAGGCATCTCAGATGGAAGCTATTGAGTTTCCTTTCGTGGCTCGTGTAGGTGGTCTATGCCTCGCTACTGTAGAGGAGTGTGCTGAGCACTCATGCTAGATAGACATATATCATCATCATTGGCAGCTTAGTCTTGGAAGACCATCTGATTAGCGCCCTTGGAGTGTTGTTTATTTCTCGGGTTTATGCATCGTTTGTTATAGCTGTTCAGACCAATGCGCGATTGACAGTCCCTATTGCAGTTGGAGCAGACGTACAGGGAAGGTTGATTTGTTTGGTTTGCCACTGCACGCTTCTTTCTCTTGCAATTCTCTGCGGCCTGCTGGTCGCTCCTCCCATCAGCGACCGCTATGCCATTGTTAACTGTCATTCTCCAGGTTCCATGATCCTCGGCCTGTACTTCCCAGCTCTCTGGTGAAATACCGCATGCCTTCATGTCCCTCTTGCACACATCCCTGAAGCGCAGTGACGGCCGGCCGATTCTTCTTGTGCCAGTGGTCAACTGGCCATACAGTATTTCCTGTGGCAGAATCCGATCTTCCATGCGTCAGACATATCCCAGCCATCGAAGGCGGCGTTTGCTCAGGTGGCGCTTTACAGTTTCGCATTTAGCATACGCTTAGAATTTTAAAGAAAAGGAGTTTATCCAGGTTTCCTCACTAGTTATACTGGCTATTTTAAAGAGACTTTGTATATCTTAGGTATTGTTCAAAGAACCTTTAATTCTCTTTATTTGATGTACGGTTGATGGGTGTAATATGGGTTAGAGAGTATACAGCTTGGCCTTATTCCAGATGTGCACCTTTCAAAAAAGTGCTAGCTCTACTTGTTCATTTTCACTTCTCGAACTTCCGAGGTAAATTGTAAAAAAATATAGCCGATAACTTTTGTTTACATTTTATGTATTTGTTAATACATTCATTGCACTTGTAGAAGCTGGCATTGTCTAGTTTGTCAAAATTAATTTTCCATATTTTAATAGCTGCCAAGAATAGTGTACTTTAGACAAATTCTGATAGATTTTTGGAGCACAAGGGAGCAGTCATTTTAGTTAGCAGAGTCCTAAGATCATTTAAAATTTCCAAAAGTACAATATCCAAAGAAATTTCAGCCACATTACATGAAAGTAGTATATAGGTATGTCAACATTCTTTCCACTATGCATGTTTAAAATGCAAACAACTTTACCTTACATACATCACTCTCTCAAAAGTACATAATAACTGGTGAGCGCCACCATAAAGAGTATATAGGCATATTATTGTATGATTTAATTTTGATTGTATGGCTGAAATATTTAAGTCGGAAGCATCAAAACAGTCCTTTGTAATAATTGTCCTGTATTCCCCCCCTCAGAACTGCATTTATTAGAGTCAGAGTCTCAAACAGGTACAGACCCCCTCCTTATGATCAAATGTGAACTATTTTGTAAATGCGAAATGCATTTTGTCAACATAGCAACCAGTGTTATGCTAATAGACAGGAACATGAAGCTAGCCATATTTATTCCTGAGATGTCAGCAATAAATTTTACAGTTAGAAAAAGGATATAACAGGTGAGGTTCATAAGGGTCAAAGGTCAAAGTGTAAAATATTAACTAATTGTTTGATATGGAAAAAGCATACTTGCTTTGTTATCATTTATTTTTTTAAATTTCATTGCAAATAAATGAAAAGAAACATTTTCTCTATGTATTTCTTTTACATAATGCAACAGCTTTCAATTTAAGTTGATTTTATTCCTATATTCTAAGAACTCTAATTTCCCCATAATGAAGGTCACTACTCACACAAACATGCCTCATGGCAAATTATGTATGCTAGAGCAAAAATAAGCATAATTAGCTTATTTTCATGAATAAAATTAATGTTAATGTACCATTTTACTCAGAACATCATACATAATAATAT